GCACCTTAACATTAAGGCTAGGGTTCACTCGCCTGATCAGATTAAAATTATACACTATTCAATGTTCAAATTTTTAAATTTTTCTAATTTAAAGGAAACAGATTTCCTAAACCACAAGCAAGTTAATGTTACTCTATTTATTGAGCTCTGAAGTTAAGTGCATCATTGAAGAATATTCTGAAAGACTTGGTACTACGATGAAATGAGTAGTAACAGCCACACACTAGATGTTTTAGAAATACCCATCCATTCCCTCCGAGCCACTCCTGTCTGTCACCTCTCAAACCGCCCTGTGTCATGCACTCTGCCCAGCAGGACATCTCAATTCTCATCTGTGTGACCCACGAGTGGGTTCCACTCTGTGGGGACAGCTAAGTTTGTAACTTAAAGATCCGCTTTGGAGTTTGGGTGGCTTATTGTAGGTCTCCAGATTCTCCCTGCAAACCCTCTGAGATCCAAAGTGATTTCTCCCAACATGCCGGGGAGTCTCTGAGGCAGTATGTGGACATGAGGGCAAGATGACGGTGGTGAGCTGGCCCCTTGCCCTATGGGCCCCGCAGATCCCAATGCAGGGGGTGGACAGGGAGAGGAGGGGCGGGGAGGGCAGGAGGGTGGTTGGCGGGGGAGACCTCAGAGGGCGACGCCGCACAGGCAGTCAGAAGCGCCCATCCCATCCCCCACGATGCTACTGGAGCTTACGTTTAGGAAGCCTATATATAAAGGCCAAAATGAGCCCGCTATGCTCTTTAGACAAGTAATTTCAAGGTAGGAACAAGAAACCCGGAAACTAAAATTGAGATGACCATCAAGTTTTGAATTCGTCCCATCCTTGTCATGAACTGAACGGGCTCAACGAGGCGCTGTGGAGACCCTCAGGCCAGGAATGGACTTCCGGGGTTCCATGAACCCCTCAGCGTTACAGGATGGTCCTCTTGTATGCGCTGCCGTGCCAGGGCGAGGAGCCTCTGTTTTCAGCTAATCCCATTGCCCCAACATGGATGAGAATCTTTACATAGTTTACATCCGCATCGTCCTGAAAGAGGACCAGTACTGATGATGTGGGGGAGGCCCTCCGGCTTGAACGGTATTCGTGTGCAGAGGGGTGTCTACAGAAAGCCTCCAGCACCCGGGTGCCAGGCTGCAGCCGGCTGACGCTCCTGTCAGCACCCGTGGGCAGCCGGTTGGGGAGAAGAGAAGCCAGGTCCAGGAGGGCCCTTGGAAGAGGGAACGTCCACAGGCATTCCAGCCAGGCCGGCTGAGGCCAGCCCGTCTTCGGGATGTAGGGATGCCCACGGCGCAGCTCAGACCGAAACGCAGCTGGCACTGCCTCCCTGTCACTTCTTCCCTCAGGAAGACAAGGCCCCGGGGGATGTGCAGGGGGGCGGCTACCAAGAGTAACTGGGGCGCAATCTCTGAATGCTGCCCGCCGGGCAGGGCCCACGTCCTCCTCGAGGCAGTTTTGACGTTTTTGGTCGACGCTGGCAACGGAGAGTCACCAGGACCTGCTGTCTCGGAAACCGCCAGGTGTCTCACCCCAGGTCTGAGTGGTCCGCGGAGCCCTGGAAAGCAGGGATCCTGCCCCCATCTTTCAGACCAGAGGGCTGAGGCTCGGTGTGGGTGGAGGGCGGTGGTCTCCGGAGCACGTGTCACCCCAGGCCTCGCAGAAGCTCCCAGCCGACCTGCCAGGTGAGGTCCCGTCCTCAGCTCCGTGTCACTACTGCTCAGTCAACACTTCTCAGCAGGACCTAATTGCCTTCTAATTGTTTTCTCTGTGTTTGTTGTTTTTCTAATTAGAGACGCAAATTCTAAGCTTTGAGGACAAAACCTCTGTTGACTACTTTTTGTAACCCCCTTCCTGGGGGATCCAGAGGAGCCACCAGTAAAGACGCCATGCACTGATGGAAGAATCCAGACGTGCAAGGCAGATGAGCAGGCAGACCCCACCTCCCGAGCTATCGGAACGTTTGAGCGAGGGGTCGGTAGTGGCGTCCTTCCCCCGGGGGGAATGTTGACTCCCGAGCCTGGCGTGAGGGGGCGCTGGGCACAGACAGCAGAATCCTCTCGCTGCCTCTGTTGCAGGGAGAAACACGCACAGACCCGCACCGCCCGCGAGCTCGGGCTGGGGAGGAACAGACGGCAGGGGAGGAAAGGGTGCTGGGGACAGCGGCCGGGCCGCTCACGGGCACCAGGCAGCGGAGGGGCGGCGCGGCTGGGGGGCTCTGCAGGCAGGGCTGAGCCTGGGGAGGCGGGTGGAGGCCAGCGTTCCTTAGCGGTGAGGGGCCCCGACAGCTGCGGTGGCGACCACTCCGCACAGCTCTGCAGCGACCCAGGCCTGACCCTGGGGCACAAGTCCCACCTTCAGGGACGAGACCTGCTGTCTGCTAGGACTGCCCCTGCGCCCGCTCCACCACTGCTGCCGTGGGAGCTGCCCTTGGTCCGAAGTGGCCCCAGCTCCCTAGTCTGTCGGAAGAACCCCGAGAAGTGAGAGGCCAGGTTGGGAGCCGAGCGCCCAGGAGACCTGGGACACGGCCCCCATCCTGCAGGATGTCCGCCCAGCCCAGAAACCCTGAGAGCCTCCCAATAAGTCTCCCTTTTCAGTGTAAAGACAGCCCAAGTCTGGGGTTCTTGCCACCTGCCACCGACAGGTCCTCATATAGCCGAACACAACCACCTACCGATGTGCAGTGTCCAGCTCCCTTTCCTTTATCTGTGAATCGCCGTGAAACACGCTTCTCCTCTACCACCCTCCCCTCACTTCAAGGCAATACAAAATTCAGTGTAATAGTGGGGGACCCCGAGCGGGAACAGTGACGACAGTGTCCTCGGCGGAGAAGTCTACAGGGTTCGAAACGCCATCAGGAGAGTTTGTGTGAATCTTGCATTCTCGACTTGGAGAGAAGGACCTCACACTGTGAGGCTGGCTCCCCCGCGGAGGTTTCAATCATTTTTAAGAGAAGTACAATCAAGTCTTGGGAAAATGAAAAAGGAATAAATTTGGAGTTCCCGTGAACAGTTTTCATAGACGATCCAAAAGTGGTCCTAACTTTTGTTAAAGCTAAAGTAGCAGTGATTTCATGAAAAGTAACAGGAATTTACCACTTTATTAAAGGGGTCTCCTCCCATCCGTTAAAGAAAATTTCCTAGAAGGAACCTGTATGGTTTGTATTTATAACTTGTTAAATAAATAAATGTCTGATGAATAAAAATTGAGTAAGAAAAAGCACTAACACAGCAAGACTAGGACCCGGTATTCTGCTACTGCAGGAACAGTGCCTGAAAGGCTGAGGCCCTGTGTAAAACCCAGGTTTTATCAGGATCAGGTATGAGGAGGCCAACAAGCCAGCAAGTGACTGCCTGAAAGGCACGCGGCAGGCATGTGGTTCACTGTGGCCAGGGACCCGCTAACCCTGGGAGGGGCCCTCCCTCCAGGCAGCAAGGCCCCAAGACGTCTGGAAACACATGGTTAAAGCAGGCCTTCACTCCAAAAATCATGGCCTTTAAATACCTTCTGATTCTAATGAAATATCTAATTCTACCTTATGGTTCCTTTTCTGAAATATATATTATACATGTTATTATTTAGTTTAAAAAGCTAATGGCCTGTGCTGAAGGAAGGAATACACTGATATGACTTGAATTGTTTTTTTCCCCACATTTTGCACCTCTATAGTAATTTATATTTTCCGAGAAATGACAAAAAAATTCTGACAATATTTTGCTCAGTGTTGAAGCTCAGTAGTTTTTATAGCTTAGTGCTCAAAGATTACTTTCAATTTTCAGTAATGAGTTCACGGTGCCCTAACCAAAGGCTTACAGTAAGAAGAAAATCTTCTGTAGCCCACAAAGTTGGTCACCAGAGAAGGCGGCAGTATTTCTGTGAGGAGATGATGATTTTTATGGCCCCTTGACTGTTAATTTGGAGGAATGGGTCACAGGCTTCCTGGTAGAGGCGCTTGCTTGACATCAACACTCGTGCAAACACAAGGTGCTGGCCCTCCCTTATAAACAATGAGAGCTCCTCGCCGGCTGCCACCTCCAGTGGTGTGTGAGGGCTGAGCACCTGTGTCAGTGGGGCTGCTGATCGAGTGTAGCCTGGACGTCTTAACAGATACACGGAGACACTCGGTCTCCAGCACTCAGCTACCCCGCGTACAGCACCGTGTTTCTGTTTCTCGTGAGGAGTCAAGGCAGTGAAGTGTCATTCTTTTTCCAGGAAACTGCCTGCGTACACCATGACCCCACTCCTTCCCTCGTCCAACTGAGATCCTGTGCGCCTGGGTTTAAGCAAACGACAGCGGTTAAGGAGGGGTTTCTTGAGGAAAATCACAACCCACACTGATAGGGGGCCTGCTCTGGGCTCCGCGGCTCCTGTGGATTTTACTGAACCCTCTAACCCTGGGACAGGGGCTGCTGTGCTCCCCTCCTCACAAGCGACCACCCAGCTGTGAGGAGGTCAGCTGCCCCCGGAGACTGTTCTCGAGCTCCTACATCCCAACTCACGGTAGTCTTTCATTCACTTTTATCATAAAATGGTTCATAATAAAAATCACACGTATCACATTTGAAAGGTACAGTAAAGTGGACACTCATGTAACCCTCCTCCTAACCAAAGATTATGACCAATACCCTTGACCCCTGCTCCCACCAGGTCAGGCCCAAGATCTCACCATGGTGTCTGCTTCACCTGCTGGATCTAGGGCTGCACACAAAGGGCGGACTTATTGTCCTTAAAACCCCCCCCCCCAACCCTCCTCATGCCCGTGGTTCTCAGTATCATAGGGAGGGACCGCTCTGGGCATCTTGTGAGAGCAATGGAACTACGTAGCCCAGAAAAAGTGACGCATGTATAGAACCCTGGAACTACTTCAAGGTTTCACAGACACGCTAAAGCCAGATCCTCAGAACTAATTCATACTGTGACCGCAAGTCTGTACCCAGCTTGGAAGGTACTATGCTAAGTGAAATAAGCCAGAAAGAGAAAGGCAAACTCAGGCGTGGTATCACTTATACGTAGAATCTTTAAAAAAAAAAAAAAAAAGTCACACTCAGAAACAGAGAGTGGAATGGTGGTTGCCGGGGGCTTGGAGGGGGGGACTGGCCTGTTGTCCTCCGCAGAGACTCAGCTGGGCTCCTGACAAAGACGCTCCACGGGCTTCACTCTTCTCAACAAGGACTCTCATCCCTCAGTTTTGAAAGATATGCTGTAACAACTGCTCTCTGGGAAAACGAGTGAGTCCAAGTCCGTCCTGTCATTAAGTTAGCAGTGCGGCTCTGCTGGGTCAGATGTGTGGGGCTGGGCCTTTCCGTCCGCAAAAGGCAGTCTCTTGATTGGATTTTGCTGAATGCTCCTTTCATGTCGAATGTGCCAAGATTCTGAGTTATGCTTCTAAAGCTCTCTTCTGAAAAAGTTTTAAAAGTAAAGCAGCAGAACAAAGCTAAACAGTTTTAAATAATGATTTTGAGAAGGTAACCTTTACGACATTGCATTTAGCACAAATCAGCTCCCAACTCCAAGGTGTGACGGTGCTGCTTCACCCTGCCAGCGCCTGCCTCCTGCGCGTCCGCCGCGTGCCAGGCGCACAGCGCCCCCTCCTTTCCCGCCCAGACACTCAGCGCTTCTTCCAGGTGAACTTCCTGCGGGCTCCCTCCTGGCCCGGCTTCTTCCGCTCTCTGACACGGGGATCGGCAGTAAGCAGTCCCGCTGCAGCATAAAAAGAGACGCCTTTATGAACCATGGAAAGCGCAGGAAGGCAGGAGAAGCGCCTGGACCGGCAGCTCCTGCCGTCAGAGGAAGAGCACCCAGGCCCACAAGCAGTTCCCAGCCTCATGTACAACTCAGGACAGCAGTCTGCGTTCACGCTCCTAAGCTATCTCCCCAGCTTCTGAGGCAAACACCAGGCACATTACTTGAGTCTGCTTTCCTTCTCCTATGAGAGATATGACTCCCTTTTGGTTTTTAAACTTGTTCAACTTAAGACAAAGCTGCTCTGCTGTGCCAGTCGCTACTCACTGCCAGGGAACTTGCCCGGCACACCTACTATTACAGATGTGCAAGTTTTAAGAGGGAGAAAAGAAAAACTTCCTGGGTGGCGAAGTGTGTGGAAGCATACAGACACCATACAGTAACAGTGCCCGTGAATATACCGACACATAATATATGACTTATCAAACATATCTGAGAAAAGAAACTTATTTTTCTAATTTGTGTGATAATAATATTTCTTGGTACTTTGTTTCAGAATCTAAAAAAGGTTTTAGCGTTGTGTCCTCAGCACGAGGCACTGGTTCCAGAAGAGTGAAGTCAGTTTAGACTGGAAGCTCCCGGTCTCGCACCGTCAGGAGTAATTACAACTTCTGAGCAATAAGCAGGTCACTCTCAGTGTACGGCCCCGATGGGTGTGCCCAGTGGCGGCCCAGACGCGGGATGTTGGTAACTACCACAAGAACACCAGCGACGAGAAAACTCTTTAACTGTGTTTATAAACATGTAAACAGACCGGAGTTTCTCACTTTTTCACCTTTCCAGCACTAGCACTTCTCCTCACTGTATGTGAGGTTTCTGTATTTTATTAAGGTACTTTCAATGGCCACACAGCAAAGGCAAAATTCACATTTTACACTTGTCATATACCCATAGCTCTTGCATTTACTTGTACTTAGGGGGTGTGGAATAACACAACGTTTTGTGCGGAATGCAAACAAGACCTGTCTAATTTCTAGTTTAAATGATAAGTAATGATGCTTTATTACTTTTCAATATGCACAGAAACTCAAAACTAGCAGAATTGTTAAGTGAGGTCCTATCAAATGATTTTAATGACTAGATATGAGTCCTACAAAATGGTGAACTGTTTATAAGCAAATGGATTTTTAGAGGTTTAAAAAAATTAACTTGCTTAAGCTATGCGTGGCCCTATCTGCAGCGTGGGATCAGAACCCCAGCAGCGCAGTGGGAGGGCAGGGGCAGGGCCCACGTCACTTGCCCAGAGGGGCTCCTGGGCCCAGAGGCGCCGGGGGCCTTGCTGAGGCCACACAGCCGGTCGGCAGTGCCCGCAGTGCTTTCCTCCTTCACAAATGGTGGGAAGACACTCCTCAGCTAGAGCTGCCCCGACTGACTGTGAAATGCGGACGCAGGGCCCTAACGAACATATTGATCGTAGAACCCTTCTCCCCCTGTGCAGAGACTCCGGAATTCACGGCTAGGTGACAGGGTCATACAGAGTGAGTAAGGGAAATAAAATTCGAACTAATATCACAGTGGAAAAGGAATCTCCAATAACTTTGGAGAGAAACACCTTAGGGGTTCCATCATTAAATCGAATAACGATTACAAATTTCTGTAATAAAACAAAAGCCACCGCTCACGTGCCCGACACAAAACGGAGTCGGATGCAGACTCGAGGGTCCCCCGTCCCCCCGCCCCCCGACCTGAACTCGCACCTTGGCGCATCCACTCGACCTCGTCCTCGGTGACAAAGCTGCACAAGGCTCTCGCCGTCGCCAAGCGGATGGCCCCCGCCTGCGCCGCCCGCCCGCCCCCCGACACCGTGCAGGTCACGTCGTGTTCTCCAAGCCGGTCGAGGAAGTGGAAAGGGAACATCAGCTGTTCTCTAAGGCACAGCACGAGAGGTGGAGTTAAGTTCACTGCGAAGATACACAACGTTACAGGCTGCTCACATTCTGGGCGTGTGTTAGACCCACACCAGACGCAGAAACGCTAGCGTCTCCGCCACTCAGATGCTCTGTGAGAGCAGGGTCAGGCCTCTTCTGCTCGGGCACAATGGCACACCCCGGCTGTTTGCTGGCCCTGCTTGTCTCCCGAGAATTTTGTGAGGCTTGAACATAACCTCGTAACGAAGTCAAAGCTGGGAGAGCTCCTTTAATCCACTGAATCCACCTCTCTGGATTCAGTGCTCAGATGCAGTATTAACAGGTCTTCCCAAACAGCTATCAAGTGCCGTTGGGGTCACGAAGCAAAGTGAACGATGCTGCATCTGTAGGAGGCTTGTGCTCGTCCTGACGCCGTGAGTTTTAAAGTCACTGAAACCACACCCGACATTTTCCCACTGAGACACGCACTCTGCCTGCAGTTCCCTCGGCTGCAGGGTCCTGCCAGGTGACACCCCACAGACCAGTCAGGCCCGCTTCCCTCCACAGCCAGTGAGCACCCATGCGGTCCAGGCAGGGCCAGAGCCAGAGGCTGGAGCAGGCAGACTGCCCTGGGCCTTCTTCTCACTCACAAACAAGGGGTCGCTTCTGCCTTGATAGCGCTTATGAATTTTACTTAGAGACGCTGATGAATATTGAATATCGCGTTTGCTTGTTTGGTCTGACACTGCAGCTTTCTGGACCCCCCAAGTAAAGGTTAGCGTCACACAGTGAGGCTGAGAGCTGGATGCCACCCCTTGGACTGCACACTAGCGGAGCAAGCCCAGGCTGGTGTGGATGGACACAACAAGAGCTCGGAAGGGCAGAGTTAACTGGAATTTGTAACAATACTGCTTCAACAGGGATGCTGTTCCAACAGGAATGAAACAAGTCCTACAATAGAAAACAGGTATGAAACGACCTAAATCTAATATTGTTTTCTTTGAACAAATGTTCCAAAGTAACCAAATAAAAAACAGGGATGCTACAAAAGTAGTACTACAGTTGACCTTTGAACAACATGGGTTTGAACTGTGCAGGCCTGCTGACACGTGGATTTTTTTCAACAGTAAATACTACAGACCTACACCATCCACAGTGGTCGGATCCCTCGATGAGGAAACTCGATACAAAGAGCCATCGGTAAGGTTGTACTCAGATTTTCCACTGTGCTGGGAAAATCCCAACCTCCACATTGTTCAAGAGTCAACGATATTATAAATAATAGCTATGTTATAAGAGCTAAAGAAAATTTAGAGGCTGATAATCTAACCCCGCCATTTCCAGCAAGGACACCGAGGTCAGTATGGAACCTAAGGAACTGGCTTTGGCACATCACAGGCCCGCGCTGCCGGACACGACTGTGCAGGTGAGTGACATGAGTGATGATGTTACTAAGAGAAGCCCTGCTCACCTACTCGTTTGGGAGCTTAAACATTTATCTGTTTCAATTCCTAAAACTTTAAGATTCCCTAACAAATGCTTATATAGATTAAAAAACTGAGACTAAAATTTGGGGAAAAAATTCAGGCTCTATGAGAGCACTTGAGTCAGGGTGGTCAAGGCGAGAAAGGACCTGAGGAAGAAGTCTGCACAGTCAGGAAGCTGGTGCACACTGAGCACGACACTAGGTCCATAAAGAGAGACAGCAACACCCAAAGGGTACAGTTGAAAACCATCACACACCTATTGGTTTTAATTAATCTGGACTCACACTAGTACATGCAAAAACAGTTACACGGCATGAAAATACTTCACAAATCTCTCCTCTCAGTGATCTCAGATGAAATCCTGAGCTAAAATAATCAATTTTATTTTGCTCTTTGTTATATAATCAAAGTTATTTTGAAAAAAAACATTTCCTCCTTTCAATCTTCTCTGAATGCCACTCCGACGGCACCAGCTGCGCAGCCCCTAGCCTGGTACATGTATAGGGTCATGTGCTCTTATCTCTCTGTGACTGCTTAAGATGCTAGCTTGTCTCCTCTACTGCACGGTTAGTGCCATGTGAGGAATGTACTCCCTTTGCACAGGTGATCAATTAAGAGTTGCTTCCCTGGCTGAGTGACAGAGCAAAGGCCTTTCCAAATCAAAAAGCACTGCTCTGTGTACCCCACACAGCACCAGGCGCAGCGTGGTAAATGTCTGCTAAGTGAATGAATAAACACAAAATTTCTGACAGCTCGGGGAAGGAACACAGTTGACACTCCCAATGACCTGTTTGCTATGTCTGTGTAAAAACAGCCTAAAGAAAGGACCCTGGAAAGAAAAGCAAGCAGTTCAAACTGACCTTCAGGCAAGCACCTCAGAGATCATCAAGTCCAACTCCCTCCTACCATTTAGGGAGGTGACCTTTAAACATCTTGGCTGAGTTCACACAGCTGGAAAACAGACCTAGAATCAAGATCACCCATTCCTGGCTCGGCCGTCTCCCTACTACTGGTCAGTGGTCACCTCCCTGCTCATCTGTAAGCTCGTGAGCCACTCGTGCAGGAGGAAAGGCCAGTCCCCGAGTAGCACGGCTGCCGTAAATCCCAACAACTACTGAAAGACAGTGAGGCGGTTTGGGTGCCTATCCCACCAAGACTAGCCTCAGGCTTCCCAATCAGATAGGGAGTTTCTTGACAACAGAAACCGTATCTCACATAGCTCTTGTATCTTCGCAATGCCAAGAACAAGACTGGGCACACAGACAACCCTTAGCAAATGCCTGCTGAATCAGACTGAAGAGTAAGTTCTAAGGGGGCAACTTAATTGTGAGATAAAGTCAAAATCGAGACTTGCTATTAAATCATCAGGAGTTATATCTGAAAACAAATTAACAGACAGTTATTGATCAAATGCCATTCCTTACAGCAGTCGTAATGCTGAAGTTACGGGTCTCTCTGGCTTTTGGTACGACAAATAATAGCTTCCTCCATCGCCTTCCCTGAGAGGGTGATGGCAGAATTAGTTTAATTCCTACTAAACAGAGTTAGACACACACACACAAATAAAATAAACATACATTTCCTGAAGTAATTATTCCGTCCAGAAGCTTACACTATAATGGCATGGTCCTCTTTCCTGACATAAGCATTGGGATCATAAGAGCCATAACTCTTCTGACCCTAAACACCACTACAGGAACCAGGAGATTAGGAAGAGAGGAACTAACCATGCAGAACTGCTATGACTTGTGGATAATGACAGTAACGACTGGGAAAATCATAACCATCTCAAGAAGAGGCCTTATACAGTGACTAAGGAACATATCTCAGATGGGCATATTTAGTGGAGTTGGGTTGTAACACCTATTTATAATTAATGTCTGTTTCTCCATGGGATACATATTTCAAAGAATAAAATTGCCATATGTAGCCATGGGAACTAAGCAAAGCCTGATGAGCTCTTATTTTAATATATAAATGTCAGGTTTCTTTGCTTGCTCAAAATATATATATATAAAACTTTCTGTGAATAGAAAAAAATCCAAAGTGATAAAGCGAACTTTTTCTAATATTTACGACGGTAAGTGCCAAACAAGGTTGGTCTTCGTTGTTTTGCGGCTGCCCATCCCCAAACCCAGGAAGCAGAGGTGGCATAGTCTGCATTTCAGAACACAAGACCCCGAGACACTCAACTTCCGGTATGATCTGATGAAAAGGGGAGGAAGACTCAATTAATGAGGAATTCTAGAGATGCTTTTTAAAGATCTTGAAAACAACATAAAACATAGTGACAGCATCCCTCTAGCTAGTTTGATATATTCTACTAGTTAAAAGAAATCATCATGCAGACAAATATAATCAGAAAATCATAAGCCTTGGTTGATCGTGACATACTATAAAGTACATTTTCTTTAAAAACAAAACCAAAACAAAGACCTCACCTGTCCTGAGTCACCGGAAAGTAGAGCAGGTAGTCGACCCCATTTACTTCTATCCTCCCACTTCCATGGTCATAAACAGCCACTTTTGCCTTTGCAGTCTTTCTGTTACCTTTAAAAATATGAGACATCTATTAGTGAACATCTTGAGGCCCAATGCTTTGACAGAGGCAAAACTACATTAAATTTTTCCCCCAGAATAACAATATGTAACACTCTATATAGGAAAGTTCTATAATTATTACAAGTCAAACAAAAATAGAACAGGCAAACTACACCATAATTGACGTAATAAAGCTTACTATGGGGTGATTTTGTTCCTTAATCCCATTTTAGAAACACTACAATGATTTTAGTTTCAACAAAGTAATTCATATTTATTTATATTATTTAAAAAAATCAATTTACATAGTGTTCTTTTTAAATTAATAAGAGTATATCTTAATCGTATAATTTTTAAAATATATGAACAGTATAATAAAGTATAATTGGTAGAAATAAAAGGAATCCTTAGGAAAGGCCACACTTCTTTGAAAATATTAACTGAAAATGAAATGATGTAAAATTTTTTAAAGTTGCAGATATATCATTTAATAACTCAATTCTTTAAAGTTACATCATGTCAAATGTCTCTGTACACCTACAAGGAAGATGTGAGTCGAGGACCTAAAGTTTTAATGTTCTGTAGTTTTAGCATCTGACGTGCAGATTCACCGAAAATTTTCATTTAATATAAGAAACCTTTATTTAGAAACCTAAACCTTTATAAGAAACCTATATTTTGTTGTTTCTACCAGTTGAAAATATGAAAATACAAAGTGTTAATATGACTGTGTAGGTATGTGCCCACATTTTTTTCTTGCAACATTATAAAGTTCAGTTTTTAAAAACGTCAACAGAACCTTAATATTCGGAAATCCAGCATAGCAGCAGCAAAAATAAACAAACAAAATGAACACCAAAGGGCAAGAACAAATAAACTAAACATTCGGCTATTTCCCAATCCTCGGCGGGGGGGGGGGGGGGGGGGGGGCGGCGGTGTTCTCTTTCCACGGGTGCGTTACCTTGGCCTGTGCTGAAGGCCATACCCTTCTCATCATACTGCAAAGGCTCAATCAGCTGTTTTTTCGATTGAATGGTTACACTCCTGCGGAACCTGCCCACAAATTCTTCTTCAGCCGCGTCACACGGCAACGCCGATAACCTTTCCAGCAGCCGAATGAACTGTGCGTACTGCAGACAATAAAAATTCATTAGGAGATGCAAGTGTAATTGCATTTGCTAAATTTTTTCTATTTTTATATACTTGATCTTTCCAATGTTGCTTTTCCTGATGAATTTTGACAGAATGACACTTCCGCAACTTCATGCTGCTTTTAAAACAGCGTGCAGATGCAGCACTTCCCCTGTGTACCTTTAGTGCTCAATCTTTTCTTTCGAGAAACAAAGAGATTTATCATTCAAAGAAAAATCCATTTCTCTGTATCAGGATTACATGAAGGTGAAATTTAAATTCACTTTCAAAAAAATACTTAGATGATCTTTAAGTATAATTTCTACTCTTTTATTAGAACTGTATCAAGAGGCGCTTCATAAATAATTTCTAGCAAGTTTCGTACAGTAAAATGGGAAGAGTCTGATTTTGAGAAAACGTACCTCTTAAACTACATTTCATAATACATTTGGCAAATGTATCTTTAGCTGTTCAAGCTGTGTTACTTTAATGTTTATGATTTCCTTTAAAACCGAACAATCAAGCTATTTAAAAATTCAAGAGATACTTGACTTAAAGGGCAACCTCTTGAAATAAATTACCCTTGCTACTCAGTGCATTTTTTTTAATAGTTCTTGAACATGTGATTAGAAAGTAAACAACTTGGTATTAACCCCTTAAAATTAGAAGCCAGAGTAATCACTCTAAAGTGTTTATGCAGAAGGAAACAACTGATACTTGAGATCCTTAGCATGGAGTGTGAAACCCAGTTTTTGATAACCTTATTTATGTTTTGCCAACCCTAAAAATCATACTCATCTTTGTTACCACTGCCTTTACAGTGAAAATCTGCCATTAATAATTTGAAATGTATAAAAATCTCACAAGTAAGATTAAAAGGGCCGCTTCAATTATTGCTTCCTGTGATGTTACAATACTGGAGAAGGCAACTGTCTGAGGAAGAGTGAACTGCTAGCCACCTGTGGTACCCAGCCTGGTAAAGCTCCATCACCTTCATTCACAGGCCTGTCCTTCCTCAGCTGTTCTCAGTTCCTCTGTACCGGCTGTAATACCCTTGAACACACAAGGAGGCAACTACAGGTATGACCCAGCCTTGCCTGTGAACTGGGATCATGGCTCAAGACATCACTGACTACCCCTGCCTTCCTCATCTTGACACCAGCCATCAGCTTCAGGATTTCTTCCAACAGCCAGCTGCCCAAGGTACAAAGATACCTATATATTTGGTTGTTTTGTGTTCATAGCTGCACACCTATAACAAAGTCCTTGGGATGTTTTCAAAATGAAAACAAACCAACCTGTATTATAAAAATAAAAGCAGCCAGAAAACAGGGAACACTGAAATGGTTCATTCAATGAAGGAGCAAAGAGAGGTTTTTCAGTTGGATCCACGTGCAGTGATACTGACTTGGCAGTTAGGATATGAGAAATTAATTTCAGATCTTTAACTCACCAAATGCCCGACACCTTAGTTAAGCAAATTGCAACTTTTCCAAAACATGAATTTCTTCAATATGTTAAATGAAGAAAAGAGCAATTTAAGCATATGACTTGAAATCTACACGGCAGCAAGGTACTAACAATGTTACCCACTGCCACGGAAGGAAAAAACCTTTCTTGGAACAATTTGTGAAATTTTTCTATACTCCAATCTTCCAGAAATAATCTAAATTTAGAACATCAACACATTTAAAACATCAAATTTCCTGTGATAATACTGGCATATAGTAGAACATTGAGCAAAAAAAGAATCAGACTAAGACCTAAAGCAGGGGTCACCACATTCCTAGGCTTTAACGTTCACTGGGGGAGCCTGCTGAAACTGTGGATTCCTGGGTGACACCCATGGAAATTCTGCGTGAGGTCTGAACCTTGGGAACTGCATTTTGTAACCAGCATTCCAGGTGATTCTGATACAGGCAGTTTTGCCGATTCCACGATGAAACATACTGGCCGTGTGGATACTGCATTTGGTAAGTCAGGAAGGTAACCATGCGCTTCATTTCTCTCCTACTTAACCTGTAACAGCCCCTTACACTTATCATTAGCCTGTAAAATTAGCACCCACTTTACTGAAGGGGGTGAAAAATGACACCTGCCATGCGCCCCTGAACAAGGGGCAGAGGATGCAAGCGCACTTGTGGAGGAGGGTCTGGGGACCAGGCACCTTCCTGACCCTCCCAGGGCAGAAATCAGCTCCACATGTTTTAAAAGGAAAACCGTCTTATGAACACCTGCCTCTGAGGAACATTACTATTAGGATCCTAAATACAGCAAATGTCTACAATCTTACGGCACAGGTCCCCTTAAATTAAAAAGATTAATTACTCACATCTTGATCTGACAGTTTTTCCACTAGCATTTCTTCCAGTTCCTCCTTAATCAGCCATCTGCTGCCAATCGGGTCTCTGTTAAAATATCACATTATATTCTCTTTTAAATTAACCATACAATGAGTTATATCACAAAAGATCCCACAAGTAGTAGCGATTCTTGATTGCGAAACACATTTTTGTATTATATAGCTGTAAAATTTCATCCAAGTAAATGATTTTTGAGACACATTATTTCATTTCCTCAATCTACTTTAGAAAAGATACCCAGTCTAGCAAATGTTCCGTTCGCAGAGTTAGACATGGCATTGGGGAACCCATGTGATGATATTCAAGTCACTAGATTTCTCAAAAATTAAAACTGTGCTTGCTTTTCATAATTTACTTTAAAGGGTATGTTACAGACACAGAGTTAATCTGTCAATGGACTAAAGTAGTAATGAAATCCAAATAAAAGGTTACGGGTAGTATTTACAACTAAAACTAGGTATATTCAAAAACTTGTGTCTTTTGCATAGGAAGAAATATGTGAATAACCAGCCCCAAATTTAAAACTGGTTGGTCAGGTCGATGGATCTAATCTATCACTGTTTGCTAAATGGAAGCACAAACCTTCAAATACAAAACACACACACACACACACATATATGTATATCTACGGGCATATAAATGCACAGTTACATACACAAAAATTCTAAAGAAATAATATTGAAGTACAGTAAGTGCCACTTAACATACAAATCTAGAATGAAGTAATATAAAAATAATAACCTTAATACTTACATCCTCCCAAACAAAAAAAAAATCACCTATTATTTGGAATTTTAATGATTAATGCTGAAATAATGAACAAATTTTTAGGCTTTAGGTATGCCTAAAATACACCAATGATAAGTGGTATGTTTTTAGTTAATTTTCTCATATATTTTAATGCAAAAAAGAACTTACCTGGCTTTAGTTTTTTCTGAAAACAGACCTTTGGCTCGCAGCTGGTCTTGACGGTTTTCTACATCTAGTAGCTTTCCATATGCTTCCTGTGGCAAATAACACACACATACACTAAACCAAGAGAGACGGCAAACCATTTACCTCCCTTTATGTCTCCCATGAGCACCTCATCTCAGAAGCGCCCTCCTCAAGTCACAGCTGCACAGCAAGGATTACTGAAAATGTTCTTTAACAATGCTATTTCTCATTCAAACTAAAGAATGGTGGAGTAATTTCAATGAGAATTTAGTATCATACATAGTAACACACTTAACTTCAAATGATTTTTAGAAAACTCTATAGAAGGTTTACAACTCAGTGAGGTTCGTAAAAACGAAATAAAGATACAAGCTATTTATTTTCCTTAAGAGTTCCATAGAGAACCAAAACTTTTCCTTAAAAAAAAATCATAATTCATACAGCAATATGCATTTAAACTTAGAGAGTTACCAGTAAAAAATTTTAAAATTTATATAAGATTTCTCTTTACCATGTAGTTTGTATCTTAAAAAGTTTTCTATTAATATTTATTTTTCATTATTTGATTTCTATTAGTTTACTTTCTAACAAAGTCTGTGAATGTATGTCACCTGTTAAATCATAATGCAAGTAGGAGAAAATTTACCATTTTGTAAGCACTAATCTGGCAATAAAGGTTATCAATGAATACGATTTCCAGGAAATGAGTTTACAATAAGCAGAATAATGCAACTCTCTCCCAAACTTGAGGACTCAAATCCAATCTATGTGTATTCGTTTATAATGTACACATAACCTACCATACTAATACCTAAGGAACAGATGTTTTCAAAGGATGAGCTAGAGATGATATAAACATTTTTTCTTGCTTAATCATGACACCGTCCAATACCATCAGCTAATCTCAGAAGACACAACTTGCTGCTCATAGAGATGTCTATCCATATTTAAAACAGTCTTCGTAATTTCCAGTTTTGGGGACAACCTCTTGTGGGTGCTGATTAGAGCGTCATATTATATCAAAATGTTGCTGACAGAGTCTGCTCTAAGAATACACGTGCCCCTCTGTTACTCCCTTAGTATTTACCAATGCTTGCATTTTATTATCTTCATTCTGCAACCTCTTTTCAGGAATCCATTTCTCTCAAGGGGAAAAAGAATGTAGGAAGGAAGGGAGGGAGGGAGGGAGGGAGGGAGGGAGGAAAAAGGATGTAAAGACCGAGCCTCTGAGTTTCATAAACATAGATGAGAAAAGCCGAGATTATGCTCCATGGGCCAGGACTTCTTGGTGAGAAAAGGGTAAGTTCATTTCCTGTAGTAGGGAGACTCGTAAGAGTGTGTTTTGTTTTGTTTTGTTTGTTTTCAGTAAGGGTAGTAGGATTGATACCTTAGAAAAGAATAAGAAAAGCAGCAGCACTTAGAAACAGTAACACTGGGCCGAGCAGCTCTGACAGAGTGAAACTATCACTATCAATAGCTGAGCGATTCTAAAGCTAAGCAGAAGCAGACAGCAGCAGCATCTAGGCCAAGCGCTAGGTTAGAAATGTAAATTCTCAGGCCCCAACCCAGACTTTCACAAGAGGAACCTCTTGGGAGGGGGGCCCAGTGATCTGTTTGAATGATGCCCCCAAGTAACGCACCCTGAAGTTTGGATCTAAACACTGGAACTCTGGGGACAAATGAGGTTAATTCAATTTTAGGGTACAGATTAACTATCTCTACAACTATACTCAAAGTATAAATCCATCACCTGTAGCAGCAGAAAAATGTACCTGACAATTCAAAACCAACTGTCCACTCTAAAGAAAGCAAGACTAGAAGCCATCCACATACAGAACATGTCCCTGCTATGCAGCTTAAAACCATACAGTTTGTCTCCCGAGAATTGGTAAGCCGCATTTGACTGTAGTTCGGGTACCTGAAATTCATATTTAAAGGCTAAGATAGTGAGTTGTAAGCCCAACTGAATAGTGTATCAGAAAAATTTCTATGTACCTATTTCTAGAAAGCAATTCTGAAGTGCTCTGAACAGGTAAAATATAGGGAAAATAAAAAACCCCACAAAATGAATCCTCCCCGCCTTGTACGAAGGGGACAGACGTGTGCAAGCAGCATCTCGCTCTGCACCTGCACCGTGCGCCCCGCCCCCGCCCCCGGAAGCCTGCTCCAGCTCGGGGTCTGTGGGAGCAGGATGGCATCAGTCTCCACGTCTCCACGCTGGGCTGCTCCAGAGCCCTGAGATTCTGAGAGTCCTGAGTCAGAGATGTATCTTTCAAATCTACCTTAAAAATATGAATTCAAGAGAATACCAACAACGGTAGTAAGGCACTACCTGGTTATAAGGGTCTATTTAATTTTCTGGAATAACCAAGGCAACTAAAACAAAAATAACCGATCTGCTTCACAGGTCAAGTTTCAAGTCAAAATTTGGGGTGCTAAATGTGTCATCATTTTCCAGTGATTCTGAGCAATTTTTAAGTCCATATTTTTCTTAAAACTTTCTTGCACTCTGCCACTACCTTCCAGTGTTATATTTAGCTCCATAATAATGTATAAATAGAGTAAGTAAAATCACCAGAAAAAATGTGGAATATGAGAAAACCACCCACGAAGAGTACACGTCAAATTTAGAACATGGTAAGTTCTATTCATTTATGGCACATGCTTTGATGGTTGTAATTCATCAAGTTATATCATGCTCTTTAAGCCCCCTCATACACTTCTTTAAATAGGAAAATATATGTAAAGTACTTAGCATACTGCCTGGCCTAGAGTAGTGGTCAAGAAATGATACAGCGGTGAGGTATGGCATTCAGGAGTCAAACAGTCGAAAAAGTTTTACCGGTGCATCATTTCTATTTTTCTTTCTTTTCTAGATAATAAAACCACTCCTGAGATTCTAAAGGTTCTATCTTGGTTATTAGTCAGAGACAACAGTCCTCCGGAAAGTACATTCTATAGCTTCAACTCCCTGAAGAGAGGTGCACTAATTTACATCAAAAAATCCTTGAGGGTACAAAATATGCCAGGAACTGTCAACATCACAGAATATCAGTGCTAGCTTCTGGTATATTGTTAAATTTCCACTTAATTTTTAAGGGACCCTAGAGAATTGGCATGACCCCACCTACACTAAGTTTATATACTGTATTTAACAGTATAATTTTCAAATATGACAGGAATAACCCAGATGTGAAATGCTGAATCATTAATCACAGCTATGATTAATATTTCATAAAATCAAAGCAAGCCTATCCACCCCTCATGTCATCATATTTCCATAATGTATGAATCGAATATGGAAGGTGCCTAATTTGGAAATACCAGATGCTCAGGGTACAGAAAAGAAATGCTTTAACTAAACTCTTCCAAGAGCATGAGCAACGTCATTTTTAGTCTACCAAATTCTGTTTTGGTTGTATTAACCATGTTGAAATTCCAATTTTAGGAAGGGTAAACGAACAACATTTCTTAGGAGGGTGGTATAGAAAAAGTCAACTGTATTTTGATATACAAAATATATAATAACTAACAGTAATTATCATCTTAGATACTAGTTCAATACAGAAAAGTAAGCGACTTAAAGTATGTGTTTGTTGGAAAAAAAAAAATCACAGAAAATAAATTTCCTAAATAACAATCTTCTCAATTTTTTGGCTACTGGCATACACAAAACCAACTGGAGTAAATATACATATAATTCATTTATCATGGTTTTTATCATGCAATTTATCTGAAGCTCCAAGTGACATACCTCTATGGTAGATCCTAGCTATCACTTTGTAAATACATTATGCTATACAGCGTATACTTCGTGTAATGCTACCCGACATAAAAAAAGGAAATAATCTCACAGATAGGTCATGTTAGACAAGTACTCTGGGAAAGTACGCACCTGGGAGTAATTACATAGAAGTGCTTGTGACTCAGATACCATATATTTTTACTACTGAAAGCTCCACCATATATTATAAAAACAATTTTACCATTATAAAAGAAGTAATCTGATTAAAATCAACAGAGGCAGTAAGTTGAATCAGTTTTTAAAAATTAATTTTCCCAATTGTTACACTTGGAACATACAAGATACACAATGGTAATTATTCATATATCAATATGAGAAAATGTATATTAAAGATACTTCTAGAACAGCAGTTTGTTGCTGAATTAGTTACTGAATTAACTCCTGCTGTCAAGAAAGAACTTAAAACAGCACACAGACACATGGCAGCACTGGTCTGCAGCTTTCTAGAAAGAAGCACTTCACATAGTCATAAAGTAGTCATTTGGTAATACCTCACTGGGAGAAGGGTCACTACTTTAATTCCATTTTTCAAGAGCACCGCTTCGAAAGTGTTCAATATTCACCACCCAGTGACAAGGAGGATGCACAGAATTGTGATACTAAGCCTCCGGAACTTCTGCTTGTTGACTCTGGAACCTCCATATACTGAGGCCTCAGACCCCTCCCTGGGCTACTGTGTGAACACAGAAGGTTTAAGTCCCTTAAAATAAACTGGAGAATTTCTAAATAAGCCAGGCAAATGAATCCTGTTTATACACACATTATTAGGATTAGAATTACTTCGTACTTTTTAATATTTTAAACTTTTTCCCCCAATTCAGCAGAACAGTTTAAGTGCATAATGATCTACTTATTCCTTAATTTTATACTTTTTAGGGTAAAACTTTCATCCAAGGCCATATAATTCCTTCAATTTATAGAAACACTCTGAAAATACTCCAATGTTTACTGTAAAACTAGTCCTAAAATATAAATGAGGTTTCTGTAAGATGCTAAATTCCCAGTATAGTTTTTAGACATGCAGAACCTTATCTTAAACGTTGGGGTAGGTGAGCTGACGTAAGATGTCAATAGATGCTTAGTGTTTCTGACAACTCACCATGTTTCCAATGTTTTATACAGCTTTTCCCAAGCTCTGGTTTCACGGGATGTTAAAAGATGTTTTGGGTAGAAACAGTTCCGTAATACAACATATTTGAGCAGCAGTGTTTCTCTACTGAAGGGCGTCAGGGAATTTTTATCACGCTAAGTGTCTCCTTATTAGTTTCCTAGTGCTGTATACAATATGCAGCATTCCCAAACGAGCTTAATTTCAGAGACCCTTTCTTGAAGCTTTCATAACCAGGGTTCCTCAGAAAGCACTTTGGGAAAGGCTATATTACAGCCATGCCCTGTCTTAATGAATCATATTTTACAAAAGGATTCCCACTTCAGAGTCAAATAATCACCTCCCACAACGAGTTTAAAATAATTTTCAACTCACTTTTAGTGAATTTCAAGATATTCAGAAACCTAGGTGTTGATAGGAGTGAACGGGAATTAACATTTGTCTTAGGATTAAAGGACCTGCACAACTGCCCAGGTTGTGACCGCCCCGTTCATGAATGCAGCCCCTTTGCCTGCCCGCCCCGCCCGGTCGCCTGGGCAGCTCCAGCTGCGGCGGGCAGGGGTGCCTGGGGCAGCTGGGACCCAAGGGCACAGCCATCGCCCTATCCTTAGCTGCGCAGACAGGCTTCCTCCCCCACCCCCGGACATGCAGCTCAGCTTTCTCTGGTGCAGCACCTGCTCCACTTCAGACGCACACATCCTCTAGAAAGTCTTCCCTCTCCTTTACATCTCGGTTCAGTTGTTTCTGGAAACTCCTTTTACTCTCTCTTTCTTCTTTCTGCTCCCAAAACGCTACGCTGAAACTCTAAATCACGTCTGAGAAGTACACAAGTTCCACTGCTTATGTGGCTATTAAGGAGATGGAAAGTCGTCCATTTGGGGTAAAAAAGATGGATGAGCAGGGCCATCCAGCCTGGAGCCCCCTCAGTCCTCAACGATCCTTTGAGAAACTCTGTACGACCCTTATTTCTTCTTAAACTACCTTTCACTGTTTAAGAATTTACTTATTAGTACTGTTTCATACTTCATTCATTACGTATGTACACCCTATTCGCTATTTTGTAAAATAAGTGGTTTTTATGGACCTTCCCAGGAACCTGAAGACAGGTGTATGGTTGTGGCCACAGGAAGGTGGGAATTCCAGCCAACCTGATGATGAGCCCTTAGAATGTAACACACTCACAAAGTCTGCGACCCCAGCCCCCATGGATCGGCAAGTTTCCCTTCACCTTGTGCTTTCCCAACAGCTTCACTTCTGGGCGGGAACAATGAGCCGCTTCTTTCTTCTCAACCGCCTCTTCCCTCAAAATCCTCCTACTTCTCCACAAAAACAACTGGATGGACTAACTACGGGTTAACTGGAAACAGCGTTCACTTAAGCATTACACATTACCCTTAACTGGAAGCTGCATCAGGCCCACCTTTTATTCGCTGCTATAATGTAATATACAACGTTAACATGCAAGCAGTGACCAAATACTAAAAAGCAGCTTTGATGTTATTACCAAAGATAAAAAAGGTTAAGGGACATCACAAAGACCTCCGGGCAGAACTGCAAACATGCTCAGAGCTGTGCTTTTCTGACAAAAAACATGGCCGTGACGGCCACAGCTCACACAATCACAGCCGGTCCAGGGCATGGAGAACAGAGTTTGCCTTAGTGTCTTTCACCCTGTCACATGGGAAGAAACTGCATCAACAAAACGAAATGGTAGCAATAATGATTCACTTCCCGCCCACCTGCCACAGTCTTTGCGGGGCTGGCTCCCTTGCTACGGTGGGATGGCGGCGGGGGGATCACCCTCCCACAGAATGGAACGGACCCTTCCGCGCACCGAGAGAGGGCAGAACAAAGGAGGGAGCCAACATGTGCAGCAGTTTCAAGTTTTACCGTCTTATTTTATATGCGATTCCTGATTCACTACGAAACCACTCTTGTGAGCTGAAGAGTGAATATTTAGTCACATACTATTTCAGAGTAACAAACAGCACCTAGCATGACGCTGACCTGCATCATCCAGGCAATGACCACAGCTGTGAGTAATAACGTCAGCCGTACGTGAGGCTCAAGTGATTGGTATATATTTAGGAAAACATTTATCCTTTTTCCATACATGTAATTACTTTAAAGTTCCATAAGATGCATTTTTGAAAATACAAGGGTTTATTAATTACCTGAATTAACACGCTCAAGTTAAACCAAAATATCTGTAATTTACATGTGTAAACTGTTCTGATGAACAATAAAACAAATACCAAACCCACAGTGTTTGGGGGTCAAACTACGCAACAAATGGACAGACCTAAATTACTCAATTTAACTAACACACAGAAGCCCAAAGAACTCTCCTATGTGCAAAGCAACTATATGATGCAAAAGGAAGACTTTATAAACTGGATGTAATTTGACATTCTAGTCGAGAGCAGGGTAGTATTTTATCCACTGAGAAACTGACCAATTTCTTGAGCAATCCCTTTTAAAACTCATAAATAAAGTTAGGCCTCTTATACAATGTGTAATTTCTTCATTATGATGGAATGCAACAAAATATCTTGCCCTTGGGTTGCTCAGTTTCAGCCAAAACAAATGCAAATGGCTTGTCAGGTGACAGCTGTTTGATAAGGCTCCTCTACAAGACCCGCATGCTTTACTTTTTTCCGTGAAACTTGGGATGAAAGGCAGAAGGCAGGAAGAGAATTAATGTAGCATACAGTCTAAAGGCAATGCTACAACCGTGATTAAGTAGAAAAGTTAAAAGGCACAGATTTTCCACAGCTTCGCTGCGTGCAACCCATCCGTGTAACAAGTTGACAGGCCTAGCGTGCCAGCTCCATCATCCCCTCCGACAGCTAAAACGCAGCGCTGCATCCCTTTTCAGGGGAAATTTGCGTCTGCACCATGAAGCGTTGTACATTATTTCTCAGCACTGCAGGGGGCTCGAGTCCATATGGAACCTTCACAAATATTACCACAGATCAAACCAGCGGCGTCGTGAGGCAGATTTGACATACCTATTTAAATGAGCAGCAGGGGTCCCTGGGCAGCCTCCGGCTGTACGCAGAGCCTGGGCGGAGAGCAGAAGCCCAGCTCCATTACTCAGCAAAGACACTCTCCGCATCCATCATTCATTTCATTTCTGCCAGGGCAAGAAGCTCATTTGCCCAAGGTCAACAAAAAGTGAAAAGAAGGTTTTCTTTTTTTTCCCCCGAGAAATAAATGTACCTGACAAGTGGGGATTTTGTCCTTTGGGTTTGCGGAGCACAAATAAACACCAGCCAGCTCGACAGAGTACATGTGTGCATGCGAGCCAAGCCACCCGAGAGCTGACTGCGGATGGAAGGCCCATGGACAATTTCTGTAACTTGTAAAACTCATATATGAATAAAATAAAACTTGACAACACGTTCTAAAAATAAAGTGGGTTCTGTTGTTTAAAACTGGGCATCAGCATCCAGCCTCTTGTCATGGTAACTGTAGGGAACTCCCCAGTGCGCGCGCACCGTCAACCAACTTACGGCTCTGAAAGAAAATAAAACCTGTTCCCAGTACGCGCAAACGCAGTTGGAAGGCAACAAGTAATAAAATCACTTCCTAGGCCTTTTGAGCCCAAATTCTAGACTCATACACTACACTGACCTATGAAAAGCAAAAATCGTATAGGAATAACTAAAGGGTAGAGAGAAGGACTTGCCTCTCCCCCAAGGTGAGCACCCCATCGCCCTGACAGCCCCTTTCCTGATTCAGGTCCCGCCTTGACGCACACGCACGCACTGATACTGAGCTGAGCATCTATCTACCAATATGACCTCAGTTTGGAAGTAAAAGCATTTTAAGGACAAACCATTCTGACATAAATTCTCTAATGCTTACCTTTAGCAAAAATGAATTAATAAAATATAAAGCCTTTCAACATACTGTCTTGTCTCTGGAAGTCTTATTTTTTGTCCATTATGAAACACACTAGGTAAATTCTGAGGCTGAGGGAGATCTCTGCTATCATTAGTTACTTAGCTTACAGTTCATATTATTTACCATAAATGTAATATACTTACGTGCATTAATGAATAATATGACTGTCTGCCAGTATAAAAGAGAAAATGAAATGGGCGGCCATCTTCTCCCCACTGGATTGCTAATAAAAACCAAATGAAAACAAATAAACAAAAATAAAAATATACAGAGATCAAATAGCTTGTATTTAACTGCAATTCATAATTCTGCAATAAGACACATTTTTAATTCTGATTAACTTTTAAAATAACAAAATAGCATGAATATTTAGAATTTAGTTTGGCAGGTTTAGCATGTAAATATGTAGGATATTTAATATTTCATACCCATTAATACAAAGCAAAGTTTATATTTGATAAAACATTCCTAAATATTCCACCATGAGAATTTCTGTAATATGTTTTAAATAAACACACAAAATACCAAAGTCATCTTGCTAGAACAAAAAAATTTATGTTTGGCTGTAAATACAACGCACTCCCATATTCTTAAAAAGGAAAGCTGATAAAGTCAATTATGTAATATAGTTAGGAAATTAGAGACAGGAATACTATAAGAAAGAAAAAAGCAAAATGGATTTTTCCGTGCCCAGTTATGTTTCAACTCTGTGGTGAGACACCTCCGAGAGTTTGAAACGTTTAAAACAGAAGGGGACCCACAAAGATGTTTTGTGTAATTCCTTTTGAAATACAGATGGTCGTTCACATCTAATAACCACCCAACAAACTGGGAAACGGAGCTGCTGCAGTAAATAAAGCAAACACCAACTCCACGTCCTCTTCCCGTATCTGTACTGAGCTGTTTCTCTGTCAACAATGTGTGAGAACTCCAAACCCGAAGGCTACACTCCTCTATTACATGAGTTGTAAACTCTTTTCTCCCAGTCTGTCACTTGCCTTTAAATTTTGTTTGTGGCATCTTTCATACTCAAGACGTTTAAAGTGTATGTGTACAGTAGGCTCTGCCACTTTTCCTCTATGGCAGTGCTTCTCAGCTGTTTTTTCATTATCATTCCTACTAAGGCACCTTTTCAGACACTTTTCTCCCTAATTGCCTGCCTCCCCATGAAATCTTAATACCGCAGATACACTGCATATCCGCTGATGTATATACTGTGGCCCTCTGGAGGGCCACAAACATTGTAATAGCTAAGATTTTTTCACCTCCTGTGAACCAATTTACACCCCCTTGGGGGCAATATCACCCCCATTGAGAAAACCTGCTTTAAGACTTTGGGCTTTCTAAAAACTATTTTCCCATATTTGCTTCTGGAATTTTTGTATGTTTTCATGATCAGAAATTTAATCAATCTGAAATTTATGTCTGTGAGGCAGAAATCCAAACACGCATTATTTTGTCCAACAAAGAGAGTCATTACTCCATTACAGTTTTTTGAATAATACACTCTTTTCTTTTAAAACATTACCTGTACAATATGTAGGGTATCTTCCTCTTCTGGGGTAACTGGATTACACACAGAACACTTTAAGTGCATACATTTAAAATGAAGACCAAAATTTCATAACGAATGGTGAAAAATGTCTAGATACAGTGCTTGGCTTGAAAAATAAAAACACATTCTTATTCGCCAATGGCTTACTGATGAATTAAATGGTTCTCCAACACCACTTTCAAAGACTTCATGAAATCTTGTATATTTTCCAGTATTCATAACCCTACTATGCAATTTTCAGTATATTGTGAAAGTCGTCAGAGAGTGATCAAGAAAGACAAATATCATGGTTGCAGATAAGCCTCTACTGAAAAGCTTGGAGGGATTTTGGAGTTGGGTCTCATTCCATGTGTGTGAATACATGTGTACGTGATTTTATAATATGCATTTACGTGTGTGTGTGTGTGTGTGTGTGTGTGTGTATACGTGTGTATATATAATTTCATTCAATCTAAGATGTCACGGACTTTAAGATACTCCATCACATATCTTACACAAAGAAAGAAAGAAAAAAAGCAAATGGTATGCAATATAGTTTACATCAATTGTAAAATGAATCCTGTTTGGTAAAGGTGTTAAAATCTGAAAAACTGTGTCTTAGAATTCACAAAATATGGCAAAAACAAACATATGCTGATTGTGAATGATCTGGTCCACTGGTCTGTCTGTTTGCACCATTACCACCATTTAATTAAAATCAGTTTTTTGCTGCATTTTGATACTTGGTAGGGTAACTTCTTTCATTACTCTTATTTCTTTTAAAAATTTCTCGCTGCTTCTTGTACATTTACTCTTTCAAAATAAACTTCGAAAGTTTTTTCCAAAAGTCCTATCAGGACTTTGAAATTATATTAAATTTATTAATAATTTTTAAAGTAGCAACTCTGCAATATTATCTTTCCTTACATGAAAGTGAAATCTTTTTTCCAGCTATTCAGATTAACACTTATGATCTTTTAAGTTTTACAGTTTTCTATATAAATCCCTTACATACTTTTGGAGTTTCATTTGCATTTTAGTTTCTGTTGCTCTTGATACTGTCCCCTCAGTTATCTGTTTTCTGTAAAATCAACTTTAATTACACAATACACTTTTTAAAAAAAAATAGACTTTATTTTTAGAGCAGTTTTAGGTTCACAGCAAAATTGAGAGGAAGGTGCAGAGATTTCCCGCATACCTCTATCACCCCCATTATCAACATCCCCACCAGATGAACCTACACCGACACATCATAATCACCCAAAGTCCATAGTTTACATTAGGGCTCACTCCTGTGGGCACTGTATGTGTTTGTACAGATGTATAATAACATTTATCCACTGCTCTAAAAAGCCTGAGCTCTGCCTATTCCTTCCTCCCTCCCCCACGACCCCTGGCAACCACTGACCTTTTCACCGGTTCCATAGTTCTGCCTTTTCCAGAATGTCACAGAATTGGGATCATGCAGTGTGTAGCCTTTCCAGGTTGGCTTCCTTCACTTAGTAATATGCATTTAAGTTTCCTCCATGCCTTTTCAGGGTGTGACAGCACCCTTCTTTTTAGTGCTCGACAATACTCCATTATCCGGATGGACCACAGCTTAATTATCCATTCACCAACTGAAGGGCATCTTGGTTACTTTCCTTTTGGCAATTCTGAATAAAGCTGCTAATAAACAACTGCGTGCAGGTTTCTGCGTGGACGTAAGTTTTCAACTTACCTGGGTAAATGCCAAGAAGCAAATACCAAACTGCGGGATCATACGGAAAGAGTAGGTTTCATTTTGTAAGAAACCAGCAAGCCACCCCCAGAGCGGCTGTGCCACCCCCCGAGCCCCTATCGGTAAGAACAGGGGCTCCTGCTGCTCCACACCCCACCGGCATTTGCTGTTGCCAGGGTTCTGGATTCTGGCCATTCTAATGGGTGTGTAGTGGTATCTCATTGTTGCTTTAATTTCTATTTCCATGGAGCATCTTTTCAAAGGCTTATTTTTCATCTGCGTATGTTCTCTGGTGATGTGTCTGTTAAAGTCTTTAGCTCATTTTTAAATCGGGTGCTTGTTTTCTTATTGTTGACTTCTAAGAGTTCTTTGTATATTTTGGATAACAGTCCTTTATCAGATATGTCTTTTCCAAGTACTTTTCTACCATCCTGTGGCTTGTCTTTTCATTTTCTTGACCACATCTTTCACAGAGCAGAAAATTTTAATTTTAATGAAATCCAGCTTATCAACTCTTTCTTTCATGGATCATGACTTTGGTGTTTTATCTAAAAAGCTATGGTGAAACCCAAGCCTTCTAGGTTATTAATTACTGATTCAGTTTCTTTAATAGGTACAGGCCTATTCACATTGTCTACTTCTTGTGTAAGTATCATACTGTTCCATAGTATGATTCTCCAACAGTTCATCTAGCTACACTACTGATGAACATTTAAATTGCTTCTGATTTTTTGCTGACACAGGCTATTCGCAATTTCCAGTCTGATGAGTGATTATGATCTCTTATCCTTAACTGACAGACATTATTTCTGATCTAATATTTTCCAGTGTTTACTGGCTACTTTTATTTTCTTCATTTATGAATTACCTTCTTTCCCTTTTGCCCATTTTTCTATGAGGCTGTTTTCCTTGTTAATTTTAACAATAATTTATTCCAGACATTAGACCTCTGTTGTGTTTCAAATTTTCTCCAGTCTGTTGTTTGTTTTTTAAATTTACTGTATCTTTTTTCTTCAGGGAGAAGTTTCACATTTTGAAATAGGAAATTTATTGATCTTTGTCCTCTTTGTTTGTGACTTAAGGGCATAATATTTGTTACTTAAAAATATTGATAGTTGTATGATTATCTTTCAGCTGGCCACTTTATCTGATTCCATTCTAGAGTTTCAATCTCTTAATTCCAAAATCATAACGTACTTTTAAGTCGTGACCCAACTCTGTCATCTTCTGGATACAATCTATTTTTTAATATTCCATTAAGTGGATTAAGAAATAGGAGATTTCTGTCCACAGAAATGCAGAAGCATGTTTCCACCAATTTTTTTTTAAGGTTGCCACAAATTTAAAACAGAAAATGAGAATAATCCAAATGTATCACTGATGAAAATTCATCCTCACCAAAACCAATGGCAGAACAGAAGGAAACTGAAATACAGCACTCCAAACTGAATTAAATATCCTCAAACAACCATTTGGAGATTATGGAGAACACTCTGAATCAAAAGTTCAAAACTGAGAACAAGTGGACAAAAAGCCCAAAGAAATGAAAGAACTTGATTAAATTCAGGGGAGAAACAGAAAAAGTTGGAAGAATCAGAAACGTAGACTAACTTATAAGTAACCCAAAAAAGAACAGCCTGAAAACATAATAAAGGACATTTTTAAAAAAAAGTAGGGAAACAACCAAAAAAAAAGAAAATGACATAAAGAAGTTAAGAGTCAGAGAGATGGTGACTGACTTGGAAGACAATCAAGGAAGGAATAACATTTATATAATTGGAGTCCCAAGGAACAAAAACAAACAGTGGAACAGAACTAATATTCATAACTTAAAAAAAACTGTTTCTGGATGTAAAGACTTGAACCTACCTATTTAAAGAGCTCATTGTCACCACTGTAATCTAACCCTCAATAATCAACTAGATGCCATATTTTCATAAAGCTACTAGATAGGTTTAGATTAAGAATCTTTAGGATCACCAGGAGGAAAGATAACCAGACTAGCACGAAACTTCTCAAAAACTACAGACAAGGCAAGGCAACGATGGAGCAGCATTTTCAAGAAACTCAAGAAAAGAAAGTATGAACCAAAGATTTTCCCCTTCCAGCCATGCTGTCCTTCAAGTATCAAGGCTATAAAAAAACAATTTTAAAAACATAAGAACTCAGGGAATTTATATCTATGAGCCCTTTTTGAAGAATCTACTAGAAAATGAACTCCATTCAACCAAGAGATGACCAGGGAGACCTTAGCAGAAGGAGTTATGGACAGTATTTAATAAGCTAATTGTAGACTTAAAACTAAAACAAAGACGAGCAAGAAGTGCACAATAGAAAATGTTAAAAAACCACAAGTATGTATGCGTGTATGTAGGTATATATTTGTATAGTTGAAATTCAATGTTTTTACAACAGTTCTTGTCCACCAAAATACATAAAGGCAGAGAAAGATCACAATTCGTTTGTAACCGAGGAGACCATCACGTTACTGAGGTCATCAGTACACTCCACGCCACACTGATTTCTTTGTATGGATTTGGCCACCATGCTGTCATCAGCTGGCAGGAGGCTCACAGGATCTCTCCATGACTAGCATTTCAGCTTCACCTATACTCTGGCATGTTTTTATAAAAGAGTATCATTTTAACAAATTTCAGAACAATTCAGTTTGAATGTTTCCTGTATTCAGATATCCAAATAATGATATTCTACTGTAATGCTTAGTTTTTAGTTTTGTATTTTCTAAGTGGGCACTCATAACACCTGTGCATATTAAGTGATTTATTCCTAATTTCTTGCCTTTTTTAATCATACTGGTTAAGACTTTCAAAATAAAAATGAGTACCAGAGGCAAGTGTAGGCATACTTGTCTTATTCCTGAACTTAATGTAAAGGAATCCAATGATATGCTTTTTAATCTGATGTGTTTGTTACTCATGATAGTCTTTCTCAAACTAAGAAAATTTCTTTCTATTTCTAGTTTAAGAGTTTTTAACCAAAAAACAAATGCTGAATTTTGTTAAATAACTTTTTATTCATCTTCGGAAATATTTTTTCCCTGACTCAGTTAACACAGAGGACTACATTAATAAATTCCTAATGTTAAACCACCCTTATATTCCTGGGGTGTGGGGGGCAGACATCCTATTCTCTATAATGCTGTATTGGGTTTGCTATCATTTAATTTAGTAAAAATACAGTGTAGGTTTCTTTAAGGTGAGCTTAGAAGTTTATGTTATCCTTTTTCTGCTCTGCAGCAGTTCACATAATATAAAAGTTAGAAACTTTTTCAAGGTATGACAGACCTCACCGACAAAACTTTCTGGGCTGTGTGCCTCTTTGGTTAGGTCTTTGATTACCTTTGACTTCTCCAGCTTTTAGTCTAACCAGCATTTCCTAATTAAGACAATTTTGGGAATGCTGTTTTTCTTTAAACTGTGTGAGTGGGGTTTGAGCTACACTCTGGATCCACAACTGCCTGGGCCCACCTACGTCCTCTGCCTCGGCCACTTCCCAGCTATGTGCCCTGGGTAAGTTTACCCAACACATCTGAAAAATGGGGAAAACAATATTATCTACTTATGAAAACTGCTGGGAAGATTATGAGTTAATGCATGCAAAGCACTGAGAACTGTGCCTGGCCTGCTCTAAGTTTTAATAAATACTAGTTACTATATTATTTAGGATATTTTTCAGATTAATAAGAATCAAGTTACCCATAACAATCTTACACTTTTAAATATCCTCTGAATATTATTATGTAAAATTATTAACGTTGTCCTCTCATGTTTTCTCTCTTTTTCCATTAACCAGACTTGCTAGAATTTGATCAATTCCACTGGCTTTTTCAAAGAGTTAGTTGCTTTTATTGTCCTACCCCTTCTTTTAAAAATCTTTACTTCATTCATCCATTTCATTCTTTTCCTGCCTTTTTTTTTTTTTTTTTTGCGGTACGCAGGCCTCTCACTGTTGTGGCCCCTCCCGTTGCGGAGCACAGGCTCCAGACGCGCAGGCTCAGTGGCCATGGCTCACAGGCCCAGCCGCTCTGCGGCATGTGGCATCTTCACGGACCGGGGCACGAACCCACATCCCCTGCATCGGCAGGCGGACTCTCAACCACTGCGCCACCAGGGAAGCCCTTTTCTGCCTTCTTGAACTGAATACTGAACAGTTCATTTATTTCTAGTCTTTCTTAATAACTAATAAATATATGTTTGCCTCTGCATAAAACAGTGTCCGTATCCCATAGGGCTTAATATGAACTGTCATATACTTCTAAATAGTCTAAAATCTCAATTTTGATTTCTCTTTAACCCAAAAGTTTTATGGTTCTATCAATTTTAATTCAGAATATCTAATCTACAAAATTTCTATTTTTATAATTTGTTAGGTTTTCTCTACAACCTATTACATCACATTCTATTAATATTCCATTGGCATCCTCATAGAAAATGTATTCTTTGTACTTGTATCTGTAACTATAAAACCATGCTGTGTTATTCAAATTCTTTACAGCCTTAGTTAACAGCTTTTGCTTTAAACATTTCAACACTAAATGCTTGGTGCAAAAAGGTTCATGGTCGTCAAATCCACTTAATGGATATTAGGTTTTATCGATATAGATTAACATTCTTGTCTCACTGAACCATTCCCGAACCTCCCTGAATTCCATTCTGTCTGGCATTAGGTGCTACTCCTTGCTTCTGTCATCAACCGGGTACATATCTTAGTTTTTCCCTATTTTTATCACTTACTTTAAAAAGTAGAGCAGCTTTTTTATGTTAACTCAATCTGGAAGCTTCCATCTTTTAATATGGGAAGTGGCAGCACATTACAAGTGCCATAATCTATTCAAATCTAAAGTTCACTGATTTTTTTAACATAAAAAATCAATTTGTCCTATTTACAAAGTACAGCAAAATTGGTAGGTAGATGGCAAAAAGTACTCTGCTGATTCTAAAGGCATACTGTTTAAACACAGTTAAATATACTTCACTGAATTGTAAGAAAATCCTATCAACACTGACATATTTCCAAAATAACACACAGGCATTTTGCAGGGACACAGGGACATTTCAGTTTTTACATTCCAGCTGATAGTAGTAACAACTTTCTAATATTCAGAAGCTGGTATGATCTGAAAGAAAGAACCAGTCTCAGAGGGGCAGATATAGAAGAACAGATGCAACTAGTAGAGATATACAGAACAAAGAGAGGAAGAGACATAAGTGAGGAGACTGAGAGGTTGAAAAATGGGGGGAAAAAAAGTAATTTTTTTTTCCCACTAAAAAAAGGGGAAAAAAATCACTATCATTACAAACATTCACAGAAAAGCCACTAAGTGTAAGTTACTGTGCCTTGTGCATAGTTTTATTTCTAGAAAACTGAACTGCATCTTTAAATTTGATGTGTACCTTTAATATAGCCTTCATCTATCATCTTCCCAGAAGCTATTAATTGAATTGATGTCATAGTTTATTATCAACCACATCTAAGAATTCAGAAAATACAAAAGACAGAATATTTATTAAAAGATTCAAAATACTTATAACAAGATTCAAAATAAAAATTATCATGTAAAGAGAAGTAGAGAAAAATGACAGAACGCCTAGCTTTGAACAAAGGTGACTCAGCAAAAATATCAATGCAAAACAAATACATTTTTAATAAAAATATCTGCTCTCTCACCAATCTCTATTTTTCAGCTCTGCAACACCCTAATGCTGCCTGTAAACTGAGCATCTGTGGCCAGCAGGTGACCCTCCAATGTATCCACACATTTTCGCTGTTGAGTTACACACCTACTAAGAGTCAACTGTGTTTATTCCCAAAACCTGTTTATTAGAATTGTACTTATTTCTGTAATTACATGAATCAAGTATTCCATAAACAGATGAAACATGGGTGGAAACAGATAAGACAGTTGATGCTTCTATCAAAATGAAGTTGAATGCTTTAGAAAGAGTCAAAGGCAAGTTACTAAAAAAAAAAAGTCTGTTCAACTTCTGTGTAGTCAGGGGAAAATCGGTAGAAATATAAAAATATTCTGCACTCAGATTCCTTAGGAAGCTTAAGTTCTTCACTCCACTGTAAGGAAATCAAAACTAAAAACCTCTGATGATGTATCTCAGGGGCAGAGGCACGCAAAAGAAATGAGGAGGAACAGATACATCCTCGAAGAAAAACCCTCTAGGGCTATAGCAAAAGACTGATGAATATAAATTTATATTTGAGTGTTTTAAAGAAATGATTTCCGGCTTTAATACTTTTTAAAGTAACTGACAATGCACCCCCCAAAGCTTATCCAAGAAGCTTCTAATGTAAATTAGAAAATAGTAAATATGTTATTTTCTGGTGACCTTAAAGCTTGTCCTACGTTTTCAAGATTTTAGTTTACACATTTAAAAGGTAAAGAGAAAAATCTTAAAAGAAAACAGAGGGCCAGCTAAGCATGTTGGCTAACTGCTCATCAGGAACAACGCAAGGCAAGAGACAACAGAATCACATCAATAAAGTAATAAAAGTCAAAAAAGAGGGGAGGGAATCTATATTCAGTGAAAATATGCTTACAAATTGAAGAAAATTTTTAAATTTTCATATTAAAAAAAGTTGAATTTGTCTCCAGCAGATCTGTACCCAGCTCTTCTTCAAAAAGGCATATTAGAATGCAAATAAATTGACATTAGTATAGGCATAAACTCTAACCTGATCTAATTTTAATATTATTTAATTAAAAAGAAACAGTTTGTAAACTCCATTCATTATTAGTTATAAAGTACTCCTGACCTATTTCACGACTACCATGACATAGGAGGGCATCTCCATAACACCTGAGTGGCTGCTGATATATAACATGGCACTGTAGGAAAGAAAGAACTATCTGTTTTACTCTTGAACAAACTTACCTCTTTGTTTAGGAAAAATCTCTTCAGGATGCTGTAAAATAAATTAAAAATGCATTAGGTAATTGCTGTAAGATATAAACCTAAGTGAAATTTGTAAAAATATTAATGAAGGTAACTACCTTCATTATTGGCCGGGCTCGCTTCTCAAACAAACCACTGGGAAAAAGGTAAGCAATCGCTCTCTGAAAATACACACAAAGGTTAATTAACAATTGTTATAAAAACAAGTTCACGTTATGACTAATAGTAACTGAGTGCTTACCATGTGCCAGATATCGAACCAAGAGTTTCACATACATTATCTCACCTTGTAATCTTCTAAATGGGATAATAAAATTACCACATATACATTCCCCAAAAGAAAAAAATTTGTAACTGTTAAACTAGTTATTAATTCCAAACATGTTCTCTTCAATGTCTGTTCTGCAGTGGGGACGCTCTTGACATTCTGAATGTGATGCTCCCCTGTAGGCAACTTCCCCTATTCGGCGGGTCATTTAATATCCCTGGCCCTTTCCCCAAAGTCCGTGCCAGGAACAACCCCAGTGCTTGTGACAAATCTCACCCCCACACGTGTCCAAAGGCGCTTCACCTCCTGCGAGCAGGACTGCCCCCAACTTGCGCAGGCCCCTACAGCCTCCTCCTACACCCACCCACCCACCACCCCACCCACAATTAAAAGGAAAAATAAGCACAGAGGCCACACGTTTTCGTGTCTGTGGGCGCTGGCAGGCGGAAAGTCAGTGGCCCCTCTCTGAGCTCTAAATGACCCGGCAGCTCCTGCAGACCCAGTGCTGCTCTTTTAGGGCCTGTCCTCTCCACGCAGCAAATGTGCTGGACCAGGTTCTGCTCCTGGAAGCAGGGGCCTATTATTTGGGGGTATATTCAATTATATTAGGGAGCCCAGCTGTGTCTCTGGGTCAAGCGTCATTCCTTCAGCCTTCTGGCAATAAAACTGACACTAAAAACAAAAACAACAACAACAACAAACTTGGCTCACACATCAGAATGCTAACTTTGTGAACTTTCTTTTCTTTTTGAAAAACCAGGGACTCCTCTCCCTTCCTTCTCTGAAGAAGAAAAGGTGGACTTTTTATTTAATAAGTGATGTTGAGACAACTGATTGCCATTTGAAAAAAGGTAAAACTTGATCCAAACCTCACACCATACACCAGAGTAACTCCAAATGAGTCAGAGAGCCAAACCTGGAAAATGAAGCCAAACGAGTACCAGAAGGCAACATGTATGAACTCCTTTATAACCTAGACATGGGAAAGTCCTTCTTAACTACCATCCAAAATTCAGAAGGAAAGAAAAAAAAATTGACCAACTAAAGAAAAGAAAAATATGGCTCAAATATATTCAGAATAAAAAAGGAGTAATTAAAAAAAAAGGAGCAATTAAAACTATTGAGATAACACTTTTCATCTAACAGGACCAACAAAAATTCGAAAGCTTCACAGCATACTGCTGGCAAGGTTACAGAAACACCCTGATGCCTTGCTGGTGGGAGTGTACAACCTCCAGGGTTGGCAGTCTGCTAATATCTAACAAGACTACATATACGTTTCCCACAGCAATTCCACTTCTACAAATTTACCCTGAAGATACACCCCCACGAATATAAAACAACACAGCATAGGCTGTTAACTGATTTATAAGAACACAATACTAGAAACAACCAAATTATCATACACAAGAGGTTAGTTGAATAAATGAAGGTACATCTATGCCATCAATTACTCTACAGCTGAACAGAAGACTGAGAAAAGCAAGATGCAAAAGAAATATACTTAGAATGGGGTCACTGGTGTAAGAAAGAGAAACAGAAGTAAGAAAATACATACTGGAGTAGGAAAAAAATATACAGAGGTTTCTTTTTGCAAACATAAACACAGTCTTTTTTAATGCAGTTTTCTGATATGTTATTCAGAAGTATCTATATTAGAATGATAAAAATTGCAGAATTTAAATATTTCGCTAAGTGAAGTTAAGTCAACCAGAAAACCACTGGAGGAAGGTGGTGAAGGAAATACCTGACTCTGCTAGCGTTAACCTCCCTGTCAACTGTTAGGTTCTAGGATTCCTGTATGTGTGTGGCACTTACCAGGCACCAGAGAACATGTACCAGCAGGAAATGGCCTATACCCTCTCGAGCATCTTAAAATTGGAGGAAAATTGGCATTCACATCTGAATTGTGGTTTGGCCCACTTGGACCAAGTTTATCAACCATGACAGATTAACAGAAATGTCACAATTAACTGAAATAAGTACTTTTTCACTTCTGAACAATCTACATGAAAAACTATTATTTACACTAAGAAACACCAGGCACAGTGGTTAAGAATCCGCCTGCCAATGCAGGGGACACGGGTTCGATCTCTGGTCCAGGAAGATCCCACATGCCGCAGAGCAACTGAGCCCGAGAGCCACAACTACTGAGCCCATGTGCCACAACTACTGAAGCCTTCATGCCTAGAGCCCGTGCTCGGCAACGAGAAGCCGCCGCAATGAGAAGCCCGCGCACCACAACGAAGAGTAGCCCCCGCTCACCGCAACCAGAGAAAGCCCGCGCACAGCAACGAAGACCCAATGCAGCCAAAAATAAATAATTAATTTTAAAAAATAATAAACTAAGAAACACCCAACCTTTCACAAAAACAAAACCCAAAAATACATGTATCAGTTGGGACTCAATTAATGATTGTTCAAGAAGCTTTAAAACAGTATTACTAGCCTAACATTTTTATTTGTTTCAGGCTTAGCCTTTGTTTCAAGAAACCTGTTCTCAGTTGAGGAACCAGACTTTGGATGTGGCCTGTAGGTAAACACACTGGTATTCAAACATCATCAATATCCATGAACATACACCTGAAATAGACACTAAACCTTGCCTTACTCTGATTTAAGGTTGTTGCTGCCTTAATCTTTCAGTTTTACATTCACTCAGAAGAAAATCTGAGCCACAGGAATAGAAAACACTTACGGGCATTTTCCTACAGTAAGCTCTAGCTTAATATTTCCTATGTTAAGTTCTGGAATTTGTATGGAATTGAACTTGACAAAGTTCTCAAGTGTTTTAAAGTAATGTCACATTTGAAAAAATTGTTAGACATATGTATGGCTTAGGTTCAATGGTTGGTTGTCACAAAAACAAAAAAACATAACACAAAAAACCTTGCTTCTGCCAGGGAGGAAAGAAAAAGTGGAGTATACATTTAGTGACAAGTAGAGAACCCTTTAGAAATTTATTAGACTATGGCATGGTTTACCTGAATCCAAAACAAAAAAAGTACTGATTAAAAAAAAAGAATGTAAACTAAAGAAAAAAATTAATCCAAGTAAGTCACCGAATAAAGTAATTCTCATTTGTAAACATGTTGTTTACATCTTTGGATTTTCACTAGAATACTGGTAATTCAAGTGTTCCCTAAAATGAAGGCAAAGTATTTAACTATATTCTTAGGCTTATGTCAAAGTATAAAAGGATTGCAAACTCAATCCAGGAGAAGGAAGCACTGGGTCAGGAATGCAATCTCTTTTAATTAGGTATCCCAGCTGGGCAGTGGGTTTGCAGCTGTTAACTTGATCAATAACTTACCTAAATGTCATCTCTACTGATTCGCTTATAAATTACCAGCAAGTGAGACTAATGTACAGGTGCTAATTTATTTAAACTGTTCTCTACAGTTCTACACAGCTTTATAAACTGCATCTGGCACCTAATGTTAGCTGTCAGTTGTACTTAGACATGCCTGTCCTAACGACTCTGTTCATTAGAAGTGAGCACAAATTATGAAATATTGTGAAAAATGATACATCAAATGGAATGGGCACAGCAAATCAATTAGAGAAACTTCACACAGCATATTCACACTCTGGAGAACAAAACATTCAGGTTTTGGAAGGAGGTCTATAATACCAATTAAAAAGTGATTGGTAGGGCTTCCCTGGTGGCGCAGTGGTTGAGAGTCCGCCTGCCGATGCAGCGGACGCGGGTTCGTGCCCCGGTCCGGGAGGATCCCACATGCCGCAGAGCGGCTGGGCCCGTGAGCCATGGCCGCTGAGCCTGCGCGTCCGAAGCCTGTGCTCTGCAACGGGAGAGGCCACAACGGAGAGAGGCCCGCCCCCCCCCCCCCCAAAAAAAAAAAAAAAAAGTAATTGGTAGACTTCAGCAGTATTATATATCAATTTGCTGGCTTTTTTCCTGAAATTCTAGAGTAATGCAGAACTTAACTTTTAATTCCCAAATAAAGACATTAGTAAATGCAAGTGCTATTCTGTATCCATAATATTTAATATAACCGAAATGTCTCCAACTTAAAATTTATAAGCTTAATTCAAAAAGGAAAATGCAAATATCAGTGGTCCTCAACCTTTCTGTGTTTACAGCATGATTCTGAGAAAAAGAATTTTGATGGTACACGTGAGAGGATGAAAAGGGTGAGCAACACGACACAGATCGTCTACTCCAGCACAGCGGTGTGTGACAATGCCTATGGAATTCCAAGGCCCTGACCACTGGCCAGCCTTGAGCCTTCGGTCAAGATTTGAGGAAAACATTTCTGCCCACCTCTGTTACACACTATGGGGCTATTTCTTACAGTTCCCATATACACAGACTCTTCTTTTGACCAAACTATAACTGCTTTACACTGAATTCCAAACTCCGTTCAGCTCAATGTTCATCGGACAGACTCCTCCATGGAGTAACATACACTGTCTCAGACAAGAGTCCTTTTCACACTGATCAACATCTGGAAATCACCTGGGAAAGATTTATGGCACAGGAGTTGAGAAACACGGCATTAAGATCTATTTTCAAAATATTCAGCATGCATCTGAGTACTTTCGGCAAGACACCAAACACACATACACTGACTGCACTGCTTGTCAGAGGGACCTGTGTGTCCTCCTATCAGATCTTCCGGGGGTTACCAGCAGCAACAGTGATTCACAGAGAAAGAGCAGCAGGCGGTTCCTTTCTTTTCAATGTAACTTAAGAAATTAGGCAAAAACTAAACTATTTTGAAATGGAGAAAATCTATACCTAATTTCTTTTTAGTTAATTTGCTATTTCACCAACTAAAAAGGATATTTTTCATATAAATTTAATGCCATCAATGAGCATTAAACATTTTGCAAAACAAAATTTCTAGCAGATACACAACGCTGTAGCTT